TCATTGACTTCAGCCATCATTGGACCTTGAAGCACAAGATCTCTAGTCCACGTTCGAGCTGGTTTTGCGCCCATTAAGCCCCTGAACCCTACCGTTTCTCCCGCCATTCATCCCAGATCTAGTATCTTCGACAACAACTTTGTCTCCGGTGTGCTCCCGCATTCGACCTCCGCGCTACATGATACGTCGTAAACAATGTCAGCCTTCAAGTTCGCAATTATTTTCATCATGCTGGCTCTTGGTTGGGAAACGATGAGCCAAGAAGACACACCGTGGGTTCTCGTCTGTGAACACCCGAACTGGGAGGGCAGGTGCGCGTATTTGCGAGCAAGAGCAGGGGACTGCAGTGAGTTGTGAACATCATTCATGGCAGCAATCGCAGTTGTTGAGCCTGCCTGACAACTTTAGCAAACGTCCCTGGAGACTGGAATGACATCATCAGCTCGATCCGGAACGACGACGCAAACATCTTTCAGTGCACCTGGTTTGAGTACGTATTCTCTTCATCACTACTGATTCATTTTGTTGCATACACGTGTTTATCTAACGCTTCTTTGACCGCAGAGATATTGATTGTGGTGGAAGTTCTGACGACAAACAAGAGAACGACAATCTGAACAACGGAGATGGATACTTCAATGACCGGATAAGCTCATGGAACTGCGAGCGACGGGATCCCAGGGACAAGATGGACAACGAGAAGGTGGACTTGTAGTACCCGGTAAAGGAAAACACAGAGCTCATTCGTCCAGCAGGCACAACAAGATAAACATGACCGATAGCTTCCCTTTCAACGTCCAAAGCTGACGTTATTGACGAGGTGAATATTCATGCTTACATATAGAAAGAAGAAGGTGCTCGGTGTTCAAACACGATACGGGTTATGCACAATTGTGCCTTGCGTGACAAACCACTGGAAAGAGCCAAGGAGCATTCACGCCGGCGGCGATCCGGGAAAAGTGGAGCACAGGCCCTGAATGTTTGTTTTTTTGACAGGCTCCTGCCGATCGATGCCCGGCACGGCATGTGGGGTCATCACATCATCGCCGTCATTGGTCTTAGGACCTGAAACCCGGCAGGCTAGAATCATGGGAATGTGCATACCCGCGATCATTGACGACATGTCTGTCTTTTAACTGGCCCGATTCGCTGCCTTCTTCCAGGCACTCAGGGCATTTACATCATCGATAACGTCACTGGGAAGAATCAGCAAACATCGGATGAACGCCTGTGGAACTGGAATCTTCTACATCACCGGGTATATAAGAACGCAACTCTTCCTCAACTCCGTCAACCTTTTCCAAAACAACCTCAAGCCATCAACACAATTGAAACATCTCACCACCACCAAACAACACCATCATCTCACCAAACACAATCTCACACCTCAAACAATCACATCCAAAATGACGGGCACCAAGAGTGACAACCCCGGCAACTTCGCCAACCGTCCCACGGAGGAAGTTCAAGAGATTGCTTCCAAGGGCGGCAAGGCCAGCCACGGTGCGGGTGGCGCTGACACCAACCCCGGAAACTTTGCCAATCGGTAAGTTAGCATCGTCACCTCACTTGGCTGAACAGTCATTTCCCCCGACACAGTCTAACATGCGATTACCCGCAGTCCCACCGAGGAAGTCCGCGAAATCGCAGCCAAGGGCGGCCGGGCAAGCCACGGCGGCGGCACCGGTGCTTCCGAGGAAGAGAGCGGCGGGAAGAGCAGCGGCGGGAAGAGCAGCGGCGGTTCTGCGAGCAACAACCCGGGCAACTTTGCCAACCGGTAAGTCTTCCGAACGTTGATAAACTTGCTCCGCCGAGAAACTGGAGCTGATCGTGACATTCCCAACAGTCCCAAGGAGGAGGTCCAAGCCATTGCTTCCAAGGGCGGAAAGGCTAGTCATGGAGGAAGTGATTAAACGGCCGACATTGCACCTTGGCATGGGTGATATGAACTGGGAATGATGATGGATTTTTGGGCGTTTACTTATGGAGTTTGAGGGAATGATATTTCATGGGCTGCAAGTCAATTGTGATGGTTTACATCTCATTGTCATGGAAGACTGCCGTAGCAGCTTGAGGCTACCAATGGATGAACATTTGAACGGCAAATGAATTCTTTGCCAAGTCAAGAACCTTTCATGCTTTGCCATTGACTCATCGTGATCCCAGGAACAATGCGAAAGGAAGTATTTTCGAGAGTCATTTTTATCCACAAGAATGATGTTCCATCTTTTAAGATTAATGTCGAAAAATATTGAAAGGAAATAGCCTGTTCCATGAATGACAGTGTGATACAAACGCAAGGAACAGGTGAGATCGTAATCAAGTCTTTGAATGGGAGCACGACGGCTGCTCAGTACATTGCGTCCTTGAACATGTGACATCGCGGAGAGTGGCCGTTTGTAAGTTAAAAATGACATGCGTTCTATTCCCAACGCGTTTCTTAGGCGACATTCCAAGTAACCTCGAGCCTTTCGCGTCTTTGGATGTTTGGCCAGCAACCTGGAGTGAACATTTCTTACTGTAGGTGAGCTACCACAATTACTATGCGATAAACCATCTCGTCTCTATCTAAGATACATCCTACCTTGCCAAGTTACACTTGGTAAGTCGGATATTCGCCCACAACATTGAGATTGTTTTTTTTTTGGGGATCGAAGGTTGCCTCATTTCCAATAGAACGCTCTCATCTGAAGCCTCCAATCTAGTGGTATTGGAAGGTAAGATAACGCACGAGAAGCACCACGTGGAGGATATTAGCTTTCGGGCGGCCTTAAAGACCCTCAAAATGTCCATGAGCTTCCGTATTCTATCCCCGAACACAATCAACACAGACGACCACCCACACACTGGCACACTCGATCCTTCATTGCAATCCATCAGCAGACACCATGGGAATCAATAGGTAAACAGTCCACAAACTGGAAAAGTCGCGAGGTTAATGCTAATTTCTTTTGTTGCAGATTGTGGCCACAACTCAAGGACGTGGACCCTGGACGCACCGTCCCGCTGGCCATTCTCGCGGCCGAGTTCTTTGCAGAAAAGAAATGACCTCTTCGTATCGCAGTCGACACTCCACTCCCGCTCCTCGAGTTTAAAGCAGTAACATCCGGGGCGGACGAAGAGAAATGGGGTGGCATGAATCACATCGTGCGGGACTTTTATTTCCATGTTGGGCACCTTCCCGCCGCCGGTGTCGAACGTATTCTCGTCTTTGACGGTCCTGGGAAGCCCCGCGAGAAGGGATCAGCACACCCTGCCGCTCTTCGACCATGCGCCCATGCTACAGGAGAGAGAGATGTCGTGGGAGAAAATGAAAGAACTGAAGAAGATAAAAAATGTGAAAGAGAGTTGTCGCATATAATTCCACTTTGTCGAACGCTGCTGGACTGTATGGGTCTACCATACCGCGACGCCCCCGCCGAGGCAGAGGCGGAATGCGCTGCTATGGAAAGGCTGGGAATTTTCGACGCAGTCCTAACCAGAGACGGTGACGCCTTCGTCTTTGGAAGTCGGCGAGTTTTGCAAAAGATGACGGCAGAAAAGAAAGTGGCCAGGGTCCGCGAGTTCCGGATGGAGAAGCTGGAGACGCCACAGGACCCCAATGCCAGGTTACGGTGAGACGATTTCTTTTTACTTGCGATGATGGCCGGTGGCGACTACGATACTGGTGTACAAGGCTGTGGCTCCAAGACGGCGATTCAACTCTCCCGACACTTTCATTTTGGTTCAAAGTTAAAGGCAGTTTTTGCACGGAACGACCCAGCAGCTGTGAAAGAATGGAAGAGTCGGCTGGTACACACCCTGCGGGAGAACCCCGGCGCAAAGTTGAGCCACCAGTTTCCCTCTTTAGCAACGACCATCGAGAACAACCCCAATTTCCCCTCAAGAACGATCGTGAACTACTATCTCAACCCGAAGGTCTCCACGGACCTGAATGTTCCACATATCGACTGGACAAGGAAGTTACAAATTCAGGACCTTCGCAAATTTACTCGAACATTCTTTAACTGGCGGTACCAGCTCTTTGCGGGAAAGTTTGTTCGCTTGCTAGCATTGCCAGCCTTATCGAGGGCGCTCTTGCTTCACGGTAACGAGCGGACTGACGGCTCGGCCCTGATCGAGACCATCACAAGGAGTAAAGAAGAAGATGGTGTGAAGCAGGTGCGCGTAGCGTTTATCCCGGCAAATGTCGTGCCGTTCGATATCGCGGGAGAGCCTGAAAATTCACACTTTGGAGGAAATGTCAAGAACTTGTTTGACTCTTCACTACCGGTGACCGAATGGGTTCCATCCTGGTTGGTGGAGTACGGCGCTCCGGAGGCATTTCATAGATGGCAAGAAAAGGAAGAGTCCAAGACGAAGGGGACAAAGAGGAAGACGCCACCAGACGATAATGCCCCAAGGCGAGGTCCGGGACGCCCTCAGAAGAGTGAGACATCACCACAGAAACAGAGCAGTGCTTCCGTTACTGTTGAACCGGCGCCAAAGCGGCCCCGTGGCCGTCCCCGCAAGGACAACTCATTGCCACAACAGAAACAGAACACTTTTATAGCGATTAGTAGCCTTTGGTATATTCTACTAGGGTCTGAGGGGTGGTGGTAAGAGATATGTATGGTAGATATTTCCCAGCATTTCCTCGTCGGCTTAGTACTCAAGGCGTCTTATAAATATAGCGATGAATTAACAGCTTTTCTGTTACATCTCCGCGCATTAATCAGTCTCAGGCTCGGGGGACCTAGTACCATTGAACCTTAGCGAGGCCGCTCTTTGACTCGGCATCCATTCTACTTCTTGCACGTCCATGGCATGTCCTCGGCAGCATTGACCTATGATACGCCTCATCCACAGCTAAAGGCAGGCAAAAAATTACACTCTCGTCCCCTGGGCCCATAGTAAGCTTAAACCTAAAAAGATGGGTCCTAGTATACCGACAGAACCGATGGAGGAAGGTGGAGCAGAGAAAAGACAGCTGACCCGAACATGAGTCCAACAAAGTAAGAGGGCGTGTAGCTCAGTCGGTAGAGCGTTCGCTTAGCATTATCTCCTCTTCTGCCTCCGCCACAAGCAGGAGGCAGGAGAGCTCAATGCGAAAGGTCCCGTGTTCGACTCGCGGCTCGTCCATATTTCATCTCTTAGTTCCTTGTTGGTGCATATGAAAAGTGATATTCAATCAACATTCCATTTTGAGTTTTTGTCATATTCTTTTTACCCCTTACTCATTCTGAGCGAAGCTCAAGTGTCTGCCCATGCCCATTAATGCATCATGGAAAACGAGTTTTCCTTCTCAGTCATCATCGGCCCGCTAGAGCGCCTCCATCAACGCCACAGGCGCATCGACAATCTCAATATCTGGATTCTCGACCTGTCGCTGTCTTGCATGGAACGAAAGGTAACCCACCAATTACTTGTTTACGGCACGACAACTATGATCATTAACAGTCGCAATTACTCCTGCATGACGAGCTGCTCTTGTTAGAGTGTGTTTGTTGCCTCGGAAATGGGACCTGCAAAGTCCTCCAACCCGTTTTCTCCGTGACTATGTTTGGATCGGGTTAAACGGGTATCGGAAGACCGGCTAGTGTCCCACTACAGACCCTTGGCGAAGAAGAAATGCCATTAACTTCTCCATGCCGCTGTTGTAGCCATCGGCTTGTTTGTAGTTGATGAACAGAACACCTTAGTGTAACGGAATGCATATCATATCAGGGATGTGGTCCTCCGTTGCGATGCCAAGTGCCAGCACGGTTTATGGGTTTTGCACGAAGCAGAATTAATGGTGAAAGTCAGTTTGGGGGGCGGAACAAAGACCAGATACGGGCTTACCTCCTCCTAAAGCTCTTGCCGAAACCTTTGCCGGTTGTTTCATAATCGCGACGAAGCCCTGTTGGGGGTAGTAACCGAAGAGACTTCGGAAACACCAGGAACTTTAGCTTCGCTTCATGGGCTTCTTGGCGGGAAGAACTAAAACTTTGCCCCAGTTATACGATGAGCCAATCGCATTGCAAGGCTGAAAGAGGCTGGTCTGGACTCGACGACAATTAACACAAGATGGATACCTAGGGAATTTGCTCGTCTTTAATGATAAATAGGCGCCTATCTTGCGTATTGTGTTAAATGGATTCGATATTCTTCCCAGCCAAGATCACCACAGATATTCTTACCCGTGAAATTCATCATGGAGTACATTTACATCCTACTAGTATATTATATAACCCCTGTCGGTCTGATTTATGGCAACGACACTAACACGCAAGTCAGATCGCTCTCTCGGGTGCCGTTGCTGGCCAGAAGACGCCCAGTGAGTACTCTTTGCATGATATGGAAGCCGCACAAAAGCTTACACCCCATGTCTTCAGTCTCCCAAGAGCTATTCGACACGTTCAAACGCTACGCCGAGATTTCATCGGCCGTTTACGCATCCACCTGCCCGACTCCCCCTGGCGGCATCAACATCACCAAGCAAATCAACAACCGCCAGACCGACACTCAGGGCTTCATCACCCGTGACGATGCAGCAGGCGAGATCATCGTCGCATTCAGGGGCACATCAAACGTCCGTGACTTCCAGGTCGATCTCCAAGAAGACCTCGTCCCCCTCCAGGCTCAAGGCATAACCGGATGCGACGGCTGCTTGGTCCACGAGGGCTTCCTCTCGGCCTGGAACAGCGTCGCTGCCGAGACCATCTCAGCTGTGGAGGCTGAGATGGCGGTGAGTCCCAACAGCCGCGTCATCATTACTGGCCACTCCCTCGGCGGGTCGCTGGCGTCGTTGGCCACCGTGTCCATGCTGGGCTCGGGAATCAACGTCACGACGTACACCTACGGCCAGCCGAGAACGGGGAACAAGGAGTACGCCGATTTTGTGGACCAGCGTGCCCCGGCGGGCGCCATGTTCCGCGTCACGCATGCCAATGATGGTGTCCCGCAGGTCGTTGCCGTCGCCAGTGGGTATCAGCACCACTCGACAGAGTACTGGCAGGAGAATGGTGCAGTTGCGGCGGGGGTCTTTGAGTGCACCGGTCAGGAGCCGACGGTGAGTGCTACATCCCCAGCACCCCCTACTACCTAACAAGATATACAAAAGTAATTTGCTGACGTCAGGGACTTGAATGGCTAGGACTGCAACAACTCGGTCCGGGGAACGGGATTGGGTGCCGGGGGCGTCGGGATCAACGCCGCCCATCTCTCGTACATGGGCGCGTCCATCGGCAACCCTGCAGACCAGGGGTCCAAGATATGTGGCGGGAATAAGCCGGGATTCTTCGGTACAGTAGGCGGTCTTCTTGGTATCGGCGGTCGTGGAGGCAGAGGGTAGCGGATGACAAGCCGAGGGTTGGATTCACACTTTTGCGCAAAAGAAAATATGGTTGTAAACAATGACTAAGACTGACTACTAGTACATGTAGCTACCAGTGGATAACGAGCAGGAACAATCCTCCACAACGATTACAATGAAAACAAAAACAAAAAGACAGAAAATAAAAAAAAAGAGAGTGGGCGCGGGAACAATGCGCGCTTGGTGCCAAGACTTGGCCTTGTTCAAGCTGACTAACTTGGCACAGCAAAGACAGGCAACCGAGACCATCATCCACCTTGTTCCAAAGTTTGGGGCAAATCCAAGTCACCGGTGACTGGAACGTTGGAAAAACTGGGACCGACCATCCAGGACCAAAGATCAGAGTTCGTCCTTGTCCTTGGGCGGGGTATTCTTGGAATGGTCCTTGTTACAAAGTGTTCTGTAGCTAGATGGAGGGAGAAAACAACATAATGTCAGCACATGTTGCCCTTGATCGCATCCGCAATGGGGTTGGTGGGGAAGCTACCTGAATTCCAGTGACTCATCATCAGTTTTCCTCACCCCACCATCCTTGCACGCGGCGAACTCACGTAGCCAGTGGTTCAGGGCCATCTGAGAATTGACCTTGACTCTGTCCTTGGACAAGTTAGTTACTCCGAGGTCGACGCATGCCGGGCCATCACCGCCCTTCGCAGGCTCCTTGCTGCTTCCAGGTCTGCCCGATATGAACCACCCCTTGCCGGGCTCAATCCAGCCGTATTTCTCCAGCTGCGAGGCGGCAACCACAGCTTGCTTGAGCCACCATATGGGCTCCTGGGGGTGACCCCTGCCTCCCTTGTCGTCTTTGCACTCGGCGTTGACGACCGCCGCGGGGATGGTGACTGCGAAGAGCGTCAGGAGGGCCGTGCGGATGATGTTGAGCTTCATGGTGATCAGCCGAAGGTGAATGTTCTGTAAAACTGGAGAAAAATGGGTAGATTCAAATCTATCGTGTTGGTGAAGGCAACTGATTCTACCAAGTGAAGAGTCAAGTATGTGCTGGTTTTGGGATGCTGCTGAGGTGTGACGGGATCTGTTGCGAAATCAAGATACAAGAAACGTAAAATGAAGCGGGAGACGGTTCCCCTTTATACTTGCCCCTTGTCAGTTTTAGATCATCAAAGTTCATTTCCTGCTATTATTATCTCATGGACATGTCCCGATTCCCTCTTCTCCTCCCAAGAGGCCGGCTGCGATATTGGCGCGGATTCGCTCCTGTAGCCTGGTGGTGAAACATTCCTTCCACTACCCAGAGCAACGCTCTACGTTGCAGTCGACATGTGATTCCGCTTTTCCAGGATTTTTAAATCATTTGGGAACACCTACACGGATGTAAGGAATCCGTCTCTCATGGTGGGGCCGACAATCAGGACGGATGCCGACGCAAGGATTTCCATTCCCCGAGCCTCCTCCTTCGGCGCCAGGGCGGTGGTCAAGCTTGGACGCTTGATCGTCGCTAAACGGCGCCGCCCGGCCGACGAGTGATTTTTTTTTCTCACAGTTCTTGTTCCTCTATATCCGGTTGCGGACCACCGTGATCTCCCGTTCGGATAGTGGGTAACCGTATGGCCGAGGTGCGGATCATAGAACCAAAGGGGAGGCCGTATCGCCGACAAACTGCCCCAACGGGATCAACGAGTTGAAATGCCCGGCCAATGTGGCCCTGCCTGAAACAAACATCATCATTTGTCTCCATTTGGCTTGCTGTGGCTATTCTGGCTCCCAAAGGCTTGACCAAGGATGCAGTCAACGAGAAGGAATCGATGGCAGCAGCAAACCAGTAATGGATTGGCAGTAACTGTGATTGAAAGGAATGAGTCGAAGGTGAGCATCTGCAAACTACATAAGAGGACACAACACCCTGAGGCGGTTGTTTGGGTTAATTCCACACAATCCATTCCGACCATCAACCCAATCTTCAATCTTAACCCATACACGCCATATAACGCTTTATTCTACTCGCGTCGTTCTTTACATACTGTATTGGTCCCTTGCGCCTCGAAATTTTCTTGTCCACCAATCCATACTCTGGTACAAAGTCCAGCATGCCCGGCTTCTCTCGAATATCCCTCACCGTGGCTCTGATGCTGGCCGCCTTCCAGGTTACCATCACCCGCGCAGCCATGATCAGAAACTTTTACAACCGTCGAACCTGCACTGGACCATCATACGCATGTTTAAATGTCCTGCCCCGAGAGTGCTGTGGGAGGCAACACGAGGAGATCGTGTCCACCGAGTTCATCAACTTGCCCGACGACTCATTTGCAAACATACACAGGAGCGATAATCCAGCGAATCCGACCGTTTGTCATGGAGACACCCTCGACTCAGCGAACGGACCCAACGTCTGCATGTGGCGGCCCACATACAGCTACAATCGTGGCAACGGCAAGGGCAAGGGCAACACCGTACGGGAATACCACGGGGGGAACTACGAGCTACATGCCAACGTCATTCTAGACCCGGGCACGCCGCCTCCCCCACTACCAGCGCTCCCTGGAATTGCCGGGCTTGCTGCTGTTGGGAGTGGCCCTGCCCGACGAAGGGACAGCATGACTGACAGACGCGAACACCATGCCCTGATGACGCGGGGCAAGCAATTCCAGTGGAATGACACCCAATTCTGGGAGGGCTGGAAGATTCTTGACGATGGAGTAACGAGAGGGTTTGACCTCAAGGACTACATGTGTCCGGCCCCAAACCAGGAATTCAAGCCGCCATGCAAGCCTCGCAAGCCCGACTTAATCACCTTTGCCGACGGACACCAGTTCAAAATCACGGACGC